GGCAAATAAGTTCTGGGCCCTCACCTCCATGGGAAGAGAAGGGTCATGGACGTTCGAGCCGTGAGACGGACTGTCGTTGCTGACCCTGAGTCTGACCGGTTTCATGCTGAGCACCCTGCTGTCACGCGTCTACTAGCCACTGTTGTTGCCGACCCGTCGTTTGAGTCTGCTGCTGCGTCTGCCTCAGTCGCTGAGCTTGTCGACTTTGCTGCTCACTGTCCTCTAGACTACACCGCTAGTCTTGTTGCTGATTCTGAGTCTGTCTGTCCTCCGTTCGTCGGGGGTGAGTGTGCTCTTGGCACGGACGTCCTCGAGGACTGGCAGGAGGACCTTGAGTGTCTTGCAGCCACTGCGCCTCATCTCATGTCCATGCTGCTTCCCCCTGAGGGAGACCAGGATGCACCAGACATCCCGACTCCGCAATCGTACGCTGAGGCGATCGAGGGTCCCTACTCCTCTTAGTGGCACATAGCCATGGACACAAAGATGGCATCCTGGAATTCCACAGGCACCTACGTCGACGAGGTTCCCTCTCCTGGGGCAAACATCGTCAGTGGCATGTGGATTTTCAGGGTGAAGCGGCCGCCAGGTTCTCCGCCTGTCTTCAAGGCTCTTTACATTGCTCGAGGATTCAGTCAACGAGAGGGAGTTGACTTCTTCCAGACCTTCTCCCCCACCCCGAAGATGACTACTCTTCGGGTGCTGCTGCACGTTGCCGCTCAGCGTGACTACGAGCTTCACTCTCTTGACTTCAGCACAACTTTCTTACATGGCAGCCTGCACGAGGAGATCAGGCTGCGCCTTCTACCTGGCTTCACTGGGTCGTTCCCTCCTGGTATTCAGTGGAGCCTTCGACGGCCAATCTACGGTCTCCGCCAGGCGCCACGTGAGTGGCACGACACACTGAGGACGACTCTTGCGGCTCTTGGGTTTGCCCCGTCGACTGCTGACCCGTCGCTGTTTCTGCGCACCGACACTTCGCTGCCGCCGTTCTACATCCTCGTGTACGTCGACGACTTGGTCTTTGCCACTGCTAACACTGAGGCGCTCGCCCGGGTGAAGTCGGAGCTGCAGAAGAGACACACGTGCACAGACCTGGGTGAGCTGCGCAGCTACCTTGGCCTGCAGATCACCCGGGACAGAGCACGCCGCACCATCATACTCACTCAGTCACACATGGTGCAGCAGGTCCTTCAGCGCTTCGGCTTCACCTGGTCGTCAGCACAGGCCACTCCTCTGGCTACAGGTCACTCGCTCTCAGCTCCACCTTCGGACGAGTCCGTAGAGCCGAGTGGTCCTTATCCAGAGCTAGTGGGCTGCCTCATGTACCTGATGATCTGCACTCGTCCTGACCTTGCGTACCCTCTTGGCCTTCTGGCTCGCTACGTGGCTCCTGGTCGGCACCGAAAGGTGCACATGGATGTTGCTAAGAGGGTACTGCGTTACTTGTGCAGTACATCGGGCATGGGGCTCGTGCTTGGAGGACGGGGTGACGTTGTCCTCACTGGTCACTCGGACGCCTCTTAGGTTGACGACCAGGCTACGCAGTGGTCGTCACAGGGTTACACCTTCAGCCTTGGTTCTGGTTCAGTTTCCTGGCGTTCTACACGTTCGTCTTCAGTTCTCGGCTCCAGCTGTGAGGCCGAGATCTACGCCACAGCCATGGCTGCACAGGAGCTACGCTGGCTCACCTACCTGCTGACCAACTTGGGAGAGCGGCCTCGTTCTCCTCCAGTTCTGTACGTCGACAACAAGACCGCCATTGCCTTGTGTCAGGAGCACAGACTGGAGCACAGAACGAAGCACATTGCTCCGCGTTACTTCCTTGCTCGAGAGGTGCAGCAGCGTGGCCAGCTTCGTCTTGCTTACGTGGCCACTAGGGCCAACACTGCTGATATATTCACCAAGGCACTTCCGCTTGGTGATTATCAGCGTTTCTGCACCTTGTTAGGCCTTGTGCCCACGCTTCCTCAATTGCTGTAGGCTTTGTTTGTACTGTGATTTATATGTATACATGCATGCTTGCTCTTGTAGGTAGATATCACTGAGCTGTTGTTGTTACATATATATCTCTGCAGGTGAACTGGCCTTGTGGCCTTTTGCTTGTGCTCAAACTGCGTGGTGACGTTGTGATCCACCCTGAGCGTGCTTTGCACTTTCTGCCTGGTCTTGTGACCCGCTGTTCTCCCCCACTTTGCCTATGGGGGTGTGTCAAACATATGTTTATATGTTGTAGTTAGGTAGCTTTAGTGGGGTACTCACTGTGGGGTACAACCCCTTAGGCTTTTCCTTTTGTACCAAAACTCACGATAGTCTAAACCATCTTGCCTAAGCTTTGATATTCTTGTACATTGTCTTACCTTTATAAGTGTTAATGAGTAGGAGCAAGTACAGGAGTCACACAATCCATGAATAATGATACCGTAACATGTTACTCCATAGTGCAAACCACTTGTGCCCTCGTCTAGTCTTACATGGAGCTGCGTTGCTCTACATGAACATGAGTGGGGCAAGGGCGAGAGTGATTAGAGCAGTGAGCGCAGTGGCCGGCGAAGCGAACAAACCTGCCATTGCGAGGGGAACAACAGGGGAAAACAGAATCAGGTCAGAGCATCCTACAGTATTTGAAAATTAGGAAACGAGAGGAGAAAAGGAGGTATCGGATTAGAGAGATGTGTGGAAATGTGCAGCGGAATCACAGGGTTAGGTTCCAGACATGAAGGCAAGATTGAGGCGACAGAACTATTTGAGAAAACGAGAACGTTTCCTAGCACATCAGAAAGGGAGAAGATGCACGGAAGATTCACAGGAGCAACATTGGAGAAACATAGAAGCAACTCACCAGCAGTCTTGGGTGGGGGAGGAGGAGCGGCAGGAGTAGAGGCACCAGCAGGGGGAGAAGTGGAACCGGCAGGGGGGGAAGTGGAACCGGCAGGCGGGGAAGTGGAACCAGCAGGCGGGGGACTGGCATCAGTAGGAGGAGAAGCTGCATCAATAGGAGGAGAAGCAACACCAGCAGAGGGAGCAGCGGCACCAGAAGAGGGAGCGGCGGCACCAGCAGAGGGAGCAGCGGCACCAGGAGAGGGAGCAGCGGCACCAGCAGAGGGAGCAGCGGCACCAGAAGAGGGAGCGGCGGCACCAGGAGAGGGAGCAGCGGCACCAGAAGAGGGAGCGGCGGCACCAGGAGAGGGAGCAGCGGCACCAGCAGAGGGAGCGGCGGCACCAGGAGAGGGAGCAGCGGCACCAGCAGAGGGAGCAGCGGCAGAGGGAGCAGCGGCACCAGCAGAGGGAGCAGCGGCAGAGGGAGCAGCGGCACCAGCAGAGGGAGCAGCGGCAGAGGGAGCAGCGGCAGAGGGAGCAGCGGCACCAGCAGAAGGAGCAGCGGCAGTGGGAGCAGCGGCACCAGCCGGAATGGAAGGAGAAGCCAAAGTGACCCTGCCGTCAGCTGTGACGGCCAGCGGCGCCCCAGCATAGAACACCACACCAGTGTTGGTGTCAATAATAGTGCCATTCGCCCACCCTTTCACGTCCCCTGCACTGTACGACCCGTCCTCATTCGGACCCGTCGGCACAATCTTCGCTCCCATACTGTCCAGGATCGTTCCGTTTATCAGAACCGTTGTTGTTCCCACACGCAGCCCCGCGTTGGGCCCAGCAGTGTGGATGGCAATGCCGCCCGGAGCAGCGATCGTGCCGTTCCTGTAGAGCATGTAGTCGCCAAGAGAGCGGGACCCGTCAGGGTTGGGGGTGGTGGCGACAGGCTTGCCAGTGGAGTCCACGAGGGAGAGCTTATCGCCGCTCAGCGACACCGTCACCGTGTAGCCGCCGAACGACAGGCTGCGGGCGGCGGGGTCCAAGGAGATGGCGGCGCCAGGCGCGGGAGTGGCAAGCCGGGGGGCGAAGGCAATGCTGCCGTCCGCTGTGAGGGTGAGCGGCGCGCCGGCGTTGATCACGGCGCCGCCACTGCCAACGATGGTGCCGTTGGACCACCCAGTCATGTCCCCTGCAGTGTACGACCCGTCAGCGTTCTTCGACGGCACGAGCTTTATTCCCGAGCCATCCACAATGGTTCCGTTCTTCAGGACTGTTGTTGTTCCCATAGCAACCAAAGCGTCGCCCGCACCAATGTAGATCGAAAGGCCGCCCGGACCAGTGATGGTGCCGTTCGGGTACGCGGTGTACCCGGCCACAGTGGCGGATCCGTCCGCGTTAGAAATGGGCGCGACAGGCGCGCCAGTGGAGTCGACAACGGTCAGTGACGGCGGGTTGGTTGCGGTGTTCACAAACGCCATGTACCCCGGACCGAACCTCAGGCTCTGAGTGGCCGGGACGTAGGTGACGGGGTAGATTGCATCCTGCGCGACGACGACCGTCGCCGAGACGATCAGAGCGAGCAGCGGCAGCAGCGGCTTCCCGCGCTGAGGAGCCTGGCGCGCCATGGCTGGCGGGAGGTTCGAGTCGGACGACTGGGAGCGACGGGAAAAGGGTAAAAAAGGGTCGCTGACTCGACCGCTCGCTCGCTCGATGTAATATTAAGTCGGAAGTTCCTCTTCTCTTTGTAGAGCATCGCTCGATGGCGCGAGGGACCGGCAGACGGGTGGTGGAGCAGCATCGCGGGATAAGTGACTGCTCCGAAGGCGAGGCGGCGGAAAGAGGGAGAGCGGTTCTTCGAGCGAAGGACGGGATAGACTGGATCTGCTGGTCCATACTGACCAACCGATCGCAGCCACGTGCACCGTCATCGCGAAAATGCAAGACTCGACCGGGAACCAAATTTCATCGCAACGTTCGTCTGCGCTGCCCGATTCTATCGCCTAAAAGACGGTGGCGTGCTACGGGCATTAAGTCCAGGGGGTCCTCACCATCTCAAGTCGACTAGTCAACTCACTTCAAGTGCCCTATTACCTATATGCTTGACATATGCTTGAAGCTTCTTGAAGCTTGTCCAGTTCTACACCCCTAAAAGTCTGCTACAACGTTCCAGCACGACTTGGCGAAAAATGTCGCTAACCGGAAATAGTGGTAACACGCAACAAAATAGTGCATCTACTGAATAACAACCTCACATATTGTAACTAAATGTAAGGATTTTTTCGACATTCCTTACCGCGCATCTCAACATTGCTTACAGGACCGACCGTTTCTTTGCGCATTGCTGGTAACGATGATTCGCCACCTTCGTGCGCTACATTCGCCAAACCATGCATCACTGGCCTGACCCGAATCGGCCTACGCTTTAAGAGAAGCCAGAATCTTGCTGTCAGCATCGCACTAGCTAGCTCGCACGCACCGTCTTACTATTGGCAATTTTCGCTTATATATCGTAATACCCCGGATAGAAGCGCACCTGCGCTTATAATAAAACATTGTTTTTTGGGGGGTGCGCTTATAATTGAGTCATATTTATAAGCGCATGCGCTTGTATAAAGGAAAAAATGAAAATCAATTTTGAACACACCATTTTGAAGCTCTCAATAAGGCGAATTCAACCGACCATGCACCAAGTGGGATCGTGCATGGTTTGTCAGAATGTTATATAGCTTATACATTTGTGTAGGCTATAGTGGGGTATCCCATAGGGGGTACAACCCAATTAGGGTTAGTACTTGTACCCACTTCATTCATAGTTCATTCATTCTCGTTTCTATTCTCACATGGTATCGAGCAGGTTCCCTCGTGGGAACTGTTCTTAGGGCCCACCACAATCGAAACCTTTTTTTTCCTGCCCGGAGCGCGCCTCGCTTAGGCCTCCTTCGGCCCCGTCGCGTCGCCCCTAGCGACCTCCCTTCCGCCGCCCCTAGCGGCCCGTCGCCACCCTACGCGGCCCGGCGCCGCCCTACGCGGCCCAGTGCCGCCTTACGCGGCCCGTCGCCACCCTACGCGGCCCTTCGCCACCCTACGCGACCCGGCGCCGCCCGTGCACTGCCCACCCCGGCTCGTCGCCGCCCGTGCGCCGCCTGTTCCGGCCCGTCGCCGCCCGTACCGGCCCATCGCCGCCCTTCACGGCGTCGCGTGCCGCCCCTACCCGCGGCTCTGCCGCTTTACCTGCGACCCCGCCACCCTACCGTGGCTCCGCCGCCTTACCCTACCTGCGGCCCCGCCGCCTTACCCTACCCGCGGCTCTGCCGCCTTACCTGCGGCCCCGCCACCCTACCGTGGCTCCGCCGCCTTACCCTACCTGCGGCCCCGCCGCCCTACCTGCGGCCCCGCCGCCCTAACTGCGGCCTGGCCACCCTATCAACGGCCCCGCCACCCTACCTGCGGCCCCGCTGCCCTACTATCGGCCCCGTCACCTGCTGCAGCGCCGCCCGCCACCCGAGCCGCCCGAGCCGTCTCACCTGGCCGAGCAACCGACCGCCGCGCCGCCCTGCAGCAGCACAACCGAGCCGCCCAGCAGCCGAGCCGCCCAGCAGCCGAGCCGCCCAGCAGCCGAGCCGCCCAGCAGCCGAGCCGCCGAGCAGCCGAGCCGCCGAGCAGCCGAGCCGCCCAGCAGCAGAGCCGCCGAGCTGCCGAGTCGCCCAGCAGTCGAGCCGCCGAGCCGCCGACCAACCGAGCCGCCCTGCTTCCGGACCGCCCGAGCTGCCCAGTCTGGTGAGCACAGCGCCTCTTTCACTGCACTGCCCTCACCCTACTGTTTGCACTGCTCCGTTGTCTGCAGTCATGGCTACCCCTAGTGTCCTCACTTTTGACACTGAGGGGCGGGCCATTGACTTTGAGGTCTGGGTAGATGACCTGCAGCTGTTCTTACAGTGCGATAGGGCACACGGCCTCTCTCTCTTTGACCTGACCTCTAGCGCTTCCCCTGCCCCTGCTGCTGATGCTGACGCCACTGTTCGCTCCCAGTGGGCCATGCGCGACGCTGCTGCACGTCTTGCTATGCGTCGCCACCTCCCTACCTCCGAGCGTGCGCACTTTAGTCAGTACAAGAGTGCTCAGACCTTGTACGACGCTGTAGTCGCGCGCTACTCCTCCCCTGCCACTGCTGCACTGAGCCGTCTCATGCTACCGTACCTCTTTCCTGACCTTGCTGCCTTTCCCACAGTAGCTGACCTCATTACGCACCTCCGCACTAGTGACACTCGCTACCGCGCTGCACTTCCTGCTGACTTCTGCGCCAAGACCCCCCCCCCCCCCATGCACATCACTCTCTACTACATAGTCGCTCGCCTCCCTGAATCCCTTCGTGTAGTCCGGGACCACTTCCTCTCAGTCTGTCCCACCACTCTCACTGTCGACCTCCTCGAGAAGGCCCTCCTAGCGATAGAGAAGAGCATAGTCGCTGTAGGAGCCTCTCGAGGTGACCCGCGCACCCCCATCTTTGAGGGGTGTTCCCCCTCCCCCCTTCTGCCCTCTGTTGCCTCTGCTGCTGCGGCCGACCTCCTTGGTCTTGAGTTGGTCGGTGCGGCGTCTGCCCCTAGCGGGAGACGCCGCCCTGGCTAGGGCAAGGGGGGCAAGGGCGCTGGAGGAGCGAGCGGGGGCGGTGGAGGTGGAGGTGGCGGTGGTAGGGGGAGTGGGGGTGGCGGTGGGAGTGGAGGTGGGAGTGGAGGGGTCGGTGGCGGCAGCAGAGGCGGAGGCGGCGGCGGCGGTGGCGGTTGGGGCGGAGGTGGCGGAAGTGGCGGCGGTGGAGGCGGCGGCGGAGGCGGCGGCAGTAGCAGAGGCGGAGGAGGCGGCGGAGGCGGCGGGGGTGGCGGTGGAGCTGGTCGCGGGTCCTCGCAGAGGAGTGGCTCCGGTGGTGGCTTGCGCCAGCAGCAGCAGCACGGTCGTGAGACCCTGTCCCCTCAGCAGCTCCGTGAGTGGTACACTGCACGCCAGCGGGGTGGGGGTTTCGGTCCGTGCTCCTATGTCCTGCGTACCGGCGACCGTGCGGGTGAGCAGTGTGGGGGAGCGCACCCCACCCAGCGCTGCTTTGGCCGCCTGACGGACGCGTGGCGTCACCAGTTCCCGGAGGCCTCAGAGATCCCTCGCTGGGGCGAGCTGTCTAGGGCGGGTGTTGCCATCTTTGATCTTGACTTTGATGCTATTCTCTCTGCCATGTATGCTGTGTCTATTAGTGATGAGGGTGACTGTTACCGGTGTTTCCCGCCCGATCCGGGCATTGAGACTGCTGCTCTAGGTACTGGTGAGGCGGCTGCCCTAGGTGCTTGCGACGCTGCTACTCTAGGTGCTAGTGTGTCTGCGTCCTCAGGTACTGGTGAGTCTGCGCTCTCAGGTACTACGTCGGCTTCGGCCTCCCTCACCTTCACCCTTGACTCTAGGGCGTCTTGCTCCTTCTTTCGAGACTGCACCACACTCACGCCGCTTAGTCGGCCGGTTGCGGTGTCTCTGGCTGACCCCTCTGGGGATCCTCTCCTGTCTCGCTTCTCTACAGTCCTCCCGTGTCCGGCGCCTCCCTCTGGCACCCTGTCTGGTCTCTACCTCCCCTCGTTCTCTACGAACCTGGTGAGTGGTGCTGACCTACAGGATGCGGGTGCACACCAGTTCACTCCAGCGCGTCAGCGGGTGACGCACTGCACAGAGGCTAGCACAGGTCGACACCTGGCTACGTTTACCCGTCAGCCGGGGTCGAGCCTGTACACACTGACCACTGCGTCTCCTCCCGCTGCTGAGTCTGGTAGGGTCGCTGCATCAGGTCAGGTGTTTGCTGCAGCGTCCAGGTCTGGTCCTGAGTCTTCCCCCTGTTCGTGTCGTCTCCTGTCTCACGAGACTCTCCTCTGGCACCACCGCCTTGGCCACCCCTCTCTGCTTCGGCTCAGAGGCATGGCCTCCCGTCTTCTAGTGTCTGGTCTCCCCTGGTCCCTCCCTCCCCTTCCTCAGGGCCCTGGCCCTACCTATGTCCCCTCTGTCGAGGGGCGCCAGCGTGCTGCCCCTCACTCCTCCTAGTTTCCTCCGACAGAGGCCCCGTTGCAGACGCTTCACATGGACGTGTGGGGCCCAGCCCGCGTCCGTGGGCAGGGTCACGAGCGCTACTTCCTGCTCGTTGTTGACGACTACTCGCGTTACACCGCAGTCTTCCCCTTGCGCAGCAAGGGTGATGTCACTGAGGTGCTGATTGACTGGATCCGCGCAGCTCGTCTCCAGCTCAGGCAGAGCTTTGGCTCGGACTTTCCTGTGTTGCGTCTGCACTCGGACAGAGGTGGAGAGTTCTCCTCCGGCCTTCTGCGTGCCTTCTATCGTGCGCGAGGCATCCGCCAGATCTTCACGCTTCCGGACTCACCGCAGCAAAATGGGATTGCAGAGCGCCACATTGGCATGGTCATGGACGTCGCTCGTACGTCTATGATGCATGCGGCTGCCCCCCATTTTCTGTGGCCGTTTGCGGTGAGGTACGCGGCGCATCAGATCAACCTTCACCCCAGGGTCTCCAGGCCGGAGATCTCTCCAGCCTTGCTATGGACGGGGAAGGTTGGCGATGCGTCGGCGTTCCGGGTCTGGGGGTCTCGAGCGTTTGTTCGCGACTTGTCTGCGGACAAGCTGTCCCCTCGTGCTGCTCCTTGCGTCTTCCTGGGGTTCCCCCCTGACGCGCCTGGGTGGCAGTTCTACCACCCCACCTCTCGCCGTATTCTGTCCTCCCAGGACGTCACGTTCGACGAGTCGGTCCCCTACTACCGCCTCTTCCCCTACTGCACTCCGTCCCTCCCCTCGCCCCCGCTCTTCCTTGTACCAGGTCCCCCCGAGGTTGACCCCCTCCCCCCTCAGGGTCCCGCCCCTTCAGGTGTGTCCCAGGTAGACGCAGTCAAGCCGGTCGAGGTCACTGGTGACTCTGGTGCTGCTGAGGGTGCTGAGCCTGGGGGTACTGAGCTTGGGGGTGCGGAGCCTAGGGGTGCTGAGCCTGGGGGTGCTGAGCCTGGGGGTGCTACGTCTGGGGGTGCTGAGCTTGGGGGTGCTGAGCCTGGGGGTGCTGAGCCTGGGGGTGCTGAGCCTGGGGGTGCTGAGCCTGGGGGTGCTGAGCCTGGGGGTGCTACGCCTGGGGGTGCTGAGCCTGGGGGTGCTACGCCTGGGGGTGCTGAGCCTGGAGCTGCTCCGCCTGGAGGTTCTCCGGGTGCTTCGTCTCGCCGGGAGCCACTCTCTCCACAGGAGTTGCGCGAGTGGTTTGCCAGGCGCTGGCGCCGTACTACTGGTGCTGGAGGTTCTTCGGCTGCTGAAGGTGCTGCTGTCGCGGGTCCCGGAGGTGCTCGTATTGGGAGTACTGGAGCTGCTGGGCGTGCGGGTTCGACTGGAGCTGGTGCTGCTGAGGGTGTTGGAGCTGAGACTACCGTTGGCGGTCCTGCTGGGGGTGCTCCTGGTGCTGCTGGAGGTTCTGTAGCTGCTGGAGGTGCTGCTGGAGCGGCTGCTCCTGCTGGGGGTACTGGTGCTGTCCCTGCTGCTTCTGGCGTCGCCACGCGGCCTCGACTGTACTTCGTTCCACTCTTGCAGCAGGTTCTTGGTCTTCCACCTTCTACTGGTCCTCCTCCTCCCGTAGAGTGTCCACAGCCTGTCCCGTCACAGTTACAATTGCAGCCTGCCTCCCCTTTGCCTGCTCCTTCTCCCTACACTCGTCCTACTGGAGGTCTTGCTGAGCGTCGTGAGCCTGCGTCTCGCCCTGCGTCGCCTCTTCGTGCTGCTCGCACTAGTGGTCGCGGTTCGCGTCAGCGTCCTCCTCCTGTCCCTGGCACGCACCGGATGTCTCTGCGTCCGTCCACTGCTCCTTTGCGTGCCCCTTTGCCTACTCCTCCTGAGTCCTCTCTTCCTGCTCTTGCCGACCCGGAGTCGGACTCTCTACGTGCTGCCAGTCCTACTGTCACGCGTCTCCTTGCTACTGTCGTCACTGACCCTTCTTTCGAGTCCACTGCTGCGTCTGCCCTCGTTGCTGAGCTCGTCGACTTTGCTGCTCGCTGTCGTCTAGACTACGCTGCTAGTCTGGTCGCTGAGTCTGAGTCTGTCTGTCCTCCGTCCGTCGGGGGTGAGTGTGCCCTTGGTACGGACGTCCTTGAGGATAGGCAGGAGGAGTTCCAGTGTCTGGCAGCTGCTTCACCTCATCTCGTGTCCGTACTGCTTACCCGTGAGGGAGACCCGGATGCACTTGACATCCCGACTCCGCGCTCTTACGCAGAGGCGATAGAGGGTCCCTACTCCTCTCAGTGGCAGGTAGCTATGGATGCAGAGATGGCTTCCTGGAAGTCCACAGGCACCCACGTTGATGCTGTCCCCCCTCTTGGGGCGAACATCGTCAGTGGCATGTGGATCTTCAGGGTGAAGCGGCCGCCGGGTTCTCCGCCTGTCTTCAAGGCGCGTTACGTGGCTCGTGGCTTCAGTCACCGGCAGGGAGTTGACTACTTTCAGACCTTCTCCCCCACCCCGAAGATGACCACTCTTCGGGTACTGCTGCACGTTGCTGCTCACCGTGACTACGAGCTGCACTCTCTCGACTTCAGCACCGAGGAGATCTGGCTGCGCCGCCAACCTGGCTTCACTGGGTCTTTCCCTCCTGGTACCCAGTGGAGTCTCCGGCGTCCAGTCTACGGTCTCCGCCAGGCGCCACGTGAGTGGCACGACACACTGAGGACTACGCTGGCGGCACTCGGGTTTGCTCCCTCTACTACCGACCCGTCGCTGTTTCTCCGCACCGACATCTCTCTGCCGCCGTTCTACATCCTCGTGTACGTCGACGACTTGGTCTTTGCCACTGCTGACACTGCTGGACTCGCCTACGTGAAGTCCGAGCTGCAGAAGAGACACACGTGCACTGACCTGGGTGAACTGCGCAGCTACCTTGGCTTGCAGATCACCCGGGACAGAGCACGCCGCACCATTACCCTGACTCAGTCACACATGGTGCAGCAGGTCCTTCAGCGCTTACACTTCACGTACTCCTCTCCTCAGGCCACTCCTCTGCCTACTCGCCACTCACTCTCAGCTCTGCCTTCGGATGAGTCCGTAGAGTCGAGTGGCCCGTATGCAGAGCTTGTTGGCTGCCTCATGTACTTGATGACCTGCACACGGCCTGACCTTGCATACCCTCTTAGCATTCTCGCACGCTATGTTGCTCCTGGGAGACACCGACCAGAGCACATGGCTGCAGCGAAGAGGGTGTTGCGCTACTTGTGCAGTACGTCGGGCATGGGGCTAGTGCTTGGAGGGCGCAGTCCAGTGGTCCTCACTGGGCACGCGGACGCTTCTTGGGCTGACGACCAGGCTACGCAGCGGTCGTCACATGGTTACACCTTCAGCCTTGGTTCCGGCTCTGTTTCGTGGCGGGCTACCCGCTCGTCTTCTGTTCTCGGCTCCAGCTGTGAGGCTGAGATCTACGCCGGGGCTATGGCTGCACAGGAGTTACGCTGGCTCACCTACCTGCTGACCGACCTTGGAGAGCCGCCTCGTTCTCCTCCAGTCCTGTACGTAGACAACAAGGCCATGCTGGCCTTGTGTCGAGAGCAGCGACTGGAGCACATAACAAAGCACATTGCTCTCCGCTACTTCCTTGCTCGTGAGCTACAGCAGCGTGGACAGTTGCGGCTTGCGTACGTGGCCTCTGAGGCCAACACTGCTTATGTCTTCACCAAGGCACGAATCGCGCCTCGTGTGTCCTCTCTACCGTCGCGCCCTCTTTCGGGCCCCCTAACTTGCCCGTCGCGGCCCCTTAAAATAGCCGTCGCGGCCCCTTAGAAGCCCGTCGCGGCCCCCTAGAAGCTCGCCGCGGACCCTTTCCTGGTCCGTCGCGGCTCCTTTCTGGCCCGTCGCGGCCCCTTCCAGGCCCGTCGCGGCCCTTGCCGCCTCAGTTGCGGCCCTCCCCCTAGCCTGCAGCAGCTGCCGCCGCTGGTTCTGCAGCAGCCGCCACTGCTGGGCCTGCTGCAGCAGCCACCACTGCTGGACCTGCAGCAGCTGCCGCCACTGGTTCTGCAGCAGCCGCCGCTGCTGCAGCCTGCAGCAGCTTCCGCCGCCCGCTCTCCTGCAGCTGCAGCCGCCGGCTCTCCTGCACCTGCCGCCGCCGGCCTTTCTGCAGCTGCCGTCATAGGCCTGCAGCAGCTACCGCCACCGGGCCTGCCGCAGCTGCCGCCCCTGGTGCAGCCGCCCCTCTGCAGCTGCCGCCCCTTGTGCAGCTGCCCATCTGCAGCTGCCCCCCCCTGGTGCAGCCGCCCCTCTGCAGCTGCCCCACCCGGTTGCAGCCGCCCCTCTGCAGCTGCCCCACCCGTGTGCAGCTGCCCATCTGCAGCTGCCGCCCCTGGTGCAGCCGCCCATCTGCAGCTGCCGCCCCTGGTGCAGCCGCCCATCTGCAGCTGCCGCCCCTGGTGCAGCCGCCCATCTGCAGCTGCCCCCCCCCCCTGGTGCAGCCGCCCCTCTGCAGCTGCCCCACCCTTGTGCAGCCGCCCATCTGCAGCTGCCACCCCCTGTGCAGCCGCCCCTGGTGCAGCCGCCCATCTGCAGCTGCCGCCCCTGGTGCAGCCGCCCCTCTGCAGCTGCCGCCCCTTGTGCAGCCGCCCATCTGCAGCTGCCACCCCTGGTGCAGCCGCCCCTCTGCAGCTGCCGCCCCTTGTGCAGCCGCCCATCTGCAGCTGCCGCCCCTAGTGCAGTTGCCCATCTGCAGCTGCCGCCCCTGGTGCAGCCGCCCATCTGCAGCTGCCGCCACCTACAGCAGCCGCCCCTGCAGCAGCCGCCCCTGCAGCTGCCGCCGCTCGATCTGCAGCAGCTTCCGCCGCCTGACCTTTAGCAGCTGCCGCCACTGCTGTAGCAGTCGCCACTGCAGCAGCCGCCCCTGGAGCAGCCTGCACCTGCAGCAGCCGCACCTGGTCCCTGGAGCAGCCGCCACTGCAGCAGCCGCCCCCGGCACTGGCCCCGCCCTGCGGTTGTAGCGGCCCCGCTGTCGCCCCCGTCCTGCGCCTGCCGCGCCGACCACTGGTGAGCATTACACTGCCAGCACTGCTACCGCTGCTGCTGCTCCTACTGCCTTTTCTACTCCCGCTGCTACCGCTCCTGCTGTTACTACTGTTGTCGCTGCTGCTGTTCCTGCCGCTACCGCTGCTACTGCTGCTGCTGACCCGGCCAGATGCAGCTCCAGGGCCGTGCTCCTGAGTCCCTCACGTCCCAGGAACTTTGAGCGTGGTACGCCAGTTGGGGCTGTCGGGGTGGCCGTAGTGTTAGTCGCTCTGGAGTGGGTCAGTCGGGAGCTTCTGGTCGTAGACAGGCGCAGCAGCCGTGTCCTCTTTCGCTCCAGGGCCGTGCTCCTGAGTCCCTCATGTCCCAGGAGCTTCGAGCGTGGTACGCCAGTTGGGGCTGTCGGGGTGGCAGTAGTGGTCGTCGCTCTGGAGTGGGTCGGTCGGGAACTTCTGGTCGTGGACAGGTGCAGCTGCCCTGTCCTGTGAGTGAGGCTGCCGCCCTAGGTGCTAGTGCGTCTGTTACCCTAGGTACTGGTGAGGCTACCACTCCTGGTACTTGCGTCGCTGCTGCCCTAGGTGCCAGTGAGTCTGCTTCCTCATGTACTGATGAGTCTGCTCTCTCAGGTACCGCGTCGGCTCCGGCCTCCCTCACCTTCACACTTGACTTGGGGGCGTCTCGCTCCTTCTTTCGAGACCGCACCACACTCACGCCGCTTAGTCGGCCGGTTGCAGTCTCCCAGGCAGACCCCTCTGGGGACCCTGTTCTGGCTCACTACTCCACTGTCCTTCCGTGCCTGGCGGTCCCGTCTGGCTCCCTGTCGGGTCTGTACCTCCCCTCGTTCTCTACGAACTTGGTGGCGGGTGCTGACCTACAGGATGGGGGGGTTGACCAGTTCACCCCTGCGCGCCGACGGGAGACCCACTGCACGGACGCGGACACGGGCCGACACTTGGCCACGTTTACACGTCGACCGAGGTCGAGCCTGTACACACTCACTGTCGAGTCTCCTCCTCCTCCTGCGTCTGGTCAGGTTCCTGCGTCGGGTCAGGTGTTTGCTGCAGCGTCTAGGTCTGGTCCTGAGTCTGCCCCCTGCTCGTGTCGCCTCCTGTCCCACGAGACCCTCCTGTGGCACCACCGGATGGGTCACCCCTCCCTGCTTCGTCTGCGAAGCATGGCCTCCCGTCTCCTTGTCTCTGGTCTTCCCCGGTCTCTCCCTCCCCTTCCTCCGGGGCCTGGCCCTCCCTGTGTCCCCTGTGTCGAGGGTCGCCTGCGGGCTACCCCTCACTCCTCCCCGTTTCCTCCGACGGAGGCCCCGATGCAGACGCTTCACATGGACGTGTGGGGCCCAGCCCGCGTCCGTGGGCAGGGTCACGAGCGCTACTTCCTGCTGGTGGTTGACAACTACTCGCGTTACACCACGCTCTTCCCCTTGCGCAGCAAGGGTGAGGTCACTGAGGTGTTGATCGACTGGATCCGCGCAGCTCGTCTCCAGCTCAGGCGGAGCTTCGGCTCGGACTTTCCTGTTTTGCGTCTGCACTTGGACAGAGGCGGAGAGTTCTCCTCTGGCCTTCTGCGAGCCTACTGTCGTGCACAGGGCATCCGCCAGACCTTCACACTTCCGGACTCTCCACAGCAGAATGGGATTGCTGAGCGCCGCATCGGCATGGTCATGGACGTCGCCCGTACGTCCATGGTGCATGCGGCTGCCCCCCAATTTCTGTGGCCATTTGCGGTTCGGTACGCGGCGCATCAGATCAACCTTCAGCCCAGGGTCTCCAGGCCGGAGACCTCCCCAGCTCTGCTGTGGACGGGGAAGGTTGGCGATGCGTCTGCGTTCCGTGTCTGGGGATCTCGGGCGTTTGTTCGCGACTTGTCCGCGGCAAGCTGTCCCGTCGTGCTGCTCCCTGCGTCTTCCTGGGTTTCCCCCCTGACGCCTCTGGGTGGCAGTTCTACCACCCCACCTCTCGGCGTGTTCTGTCCTCCCAGGACGTCACGTTCGACGAGTCGGTCCCCTTCTACCGGCTCTTCCCCTACCGCACTCCGTCCCTCCCCCCACCTCCGCTCTTCCTTGTCCCAGGTCCCCCCCAGGTAGACCCCCTCCCTCCCCAGGGTCCTGCCCTGTCAGGTGTGTCCCAGGTAGACGCTGTTGAGCCTGTCGAGGTCACTGGTGACTCGGGTGCTGAGCCTGGGGGTGCTGTGTCTGGGGGTGCTGAGCCTGGGGGTGCTGCGTCTGGGGGTGCTGAGCCTGGGGGTGCTAGGCCTGAGGGTGCTGAGCCTGGGGGTGCTGAGCCTGGAGGTGCGGAGTCTGGGGGTGCTGAGCCTGCTGGTGCTGTTCCTGGCGGTTCGCCGGGTCTTTTTTCTCACCGGGAGCAGCTCTCTCCACTGGAGCTACGTGAGTGGTTTGCCCGACGCTGGAGGCGAGCTGCTGGAGCTGGGGGTGCTGCGGGTACTGGAGGTTCTGCTGCTACTGAGGGAGCTGGTGCCACGGGTCCCGGAGGTGCTCGTACTGTGAGTACTGTAGCTGCCGGGCCTGGGGGTGCCTCTGGAGCTGAGGCGACTGCTGGCGGTCCTGCTGAGGGTCCTTCTGGCGCTGCTGGAGGTCCTGCTGGTGCTGGTGCTGCCGTTGGGGGTACTGGTGCTGTAGCGGAGGCGAATGCTGGCGGTCCTGCTGAGGTTACTACTGGTGCTGCTGGTGGTGCTGGCGTTGGAGCTGCCACTGGTGGTGGTGCTGCCGCTGGAGGTGCTGGTGCTGTCCCTGCTGTGTCTAGAGTCGCTGCGCGGCCTCGGCCGTACTTCGTTCCGCTCCTTCAGCAGGTTCTTGGTCTCCCGTCTTCCTCTGGTCCGTCCCCTCCCCTAGCGTGTCCACAGCCTGTCCAGTCACAGCTACAGCTGCAGCCCGGCTCCCCACTGCCTGCTCCGTCTTCCTACACTGGTCCTACTGGAGGTCTTGCTGAGCGTCGTGAGCCTGCGTCTCGGCCTGCGTCACCTGTCCGTGCTGCTCGCCCTAGTGGTCGCGGTTCGCGTCAGCGTCCTCCTCCTGTCCCTGGAATGCATAGGATGTCTCTGCGTCCGTCCACTGCTCCTCTGCGTGCCCCTTTGCCTTCTCCTCCTGCGTCTTCCCTTCCTGCCCTTGCCGACCCGGAGTCGAACTCTCTTCGTGCTGCCAGTCCTACTGTCACGCGTCTCCTTGCTACTGTTGTCACTGACCCTTCCTTTGAGTCAGTTGCTGCGTCTGCCTTGGTTGCTGAGCTGGTCGACTTTGCTGCCGGCTGTCGTCTAGACTACGCCGCCAGTCTTGTTGCTGAGTCGGAGTCTGCTGAGTCTGCGTCTACTGAGTCTGCGTCTGCCTGTCCTCTGTCCGTCGGGGGTGAGTGTGCTCTTGGCACGGACGTCCTTGAGGACAGGCAGGAGGAGTTCCAATGCTTTGCCGCCGCTTTGCCCCATCTCGTGTCCATGCTTGTTGCCCCTGAGGGAGACCCCACG